AACTTGCCAAGACGCCAGGACTCCGGGACGACGACCAATAACCGGATAATTATCCGACCAGGTCGTCCCGTTGTGGTTGATCCAGCATACAGCAACCGGCCTCAGCGAGGTTGGACTGGACTCGGGGTACACTCGACCAGAGCACTTCCCCCTACAATAGGTGACCAAGGGTCAGTTCCAACGCCTCCTGCATCGCTTCCACGCCGTCATCGTGTTTCTGGGACAACACCCACTTGCGCAGCTGTACGGGAACGTCTTCCTACATGTTTCCCACGACGCCCCTTCATCTTCGAGGCTGAGCTACTTGACCAGGATTTCATGCTGCCCGTTGACAACACGGGTCGCCAGGAGGTCTTCTACATGGAAACCACCTTCGCCGTAGGCAGCATGGTCCTCCAGGTCTTCGCCGTGCCGTTCGCTGCCTCGCTGTACAACTTCAGACGGCAGGAATGGTTCACAGGCTCGTGAAGAGGGGGCACTAGCTGTTCAGTCGCCATTACACAATCTGTGATAACTCGCGTGTGTCTTGAGGTACCACGCCACGCCGGGGATAACTTACTCGGGTATCGCACCACCGACCCGACAAGGACGTAATCACCAACGCCAAAGTTCGTCAATTTGAACGCCTTGTTTCGGGGTTTCGGGGTTTTTTCTTCGCGTGTCTAGCTCTCGCTTGGCCACGTAGCTTTTTTTGCTACGGGCCGACACATCACGGTGCATCTCGTCTAGCGAGCTTTGGAGGTTTTGCACGTGCTTGATCCGAGACTTGTCGAGCCAATCAAAGTCCGGAGTTCCTTGGTCGTTGAATGCACAATCCCGCACAACAGTGGTGCCGCGTCGAATCCACCAAACGCCGTCGCAAGAGCGGGGGTCATTCCTGACATTCGTTCGAAGTACGTCCACAAACTTGGCCTGCAGTTGTTTTAAGCGCACGACTTCTTCGTCGCGTAGGCCGAGGCTTCGAGCGTCTTCGACCTTCGCCACTAGAATTGCCTTCACCATAGCCTCGCAACGTCGACGGAGGTCTTCCTTGCTCTCGCCCGGCAGCATGTCTACCACTGGAGAGCACTCCATCCTGGCCACGGGGTCATCATCCAGGACAATAAGATGGGATCGGGACACCTGATTCACAGCAACTTCAGCAGACGGCAAGAACTCGCTGTCGGACATGTCCCCTCAGGTTCGAGAGTCAGCTCTTTCACGAGCAGCGCGTTCGCAGAAAATCCCAAGGACTCCATCACAGCACGGCTGACATTCAGCGCCACGTCGTCGTCCGCCTCGTCGTCGATCCATATGGGCACGCCACGCAGTAGGAGGGGACCACATGTCGTCGTGAGCGTTACACTCATGCATAAGCAACGTGATAGCATGACTAGCTTGGGCTCCTTCCCATACGGGTACAGGGCGGTAGGTGTGTCGTCCACCACCACCTGGGTCGCCACGCCCGCCCTCTCCAGCGCCCGCGTCAAGCAGCAGGTTCTCTACCGCGACAACGTCGGTCACGGTGGCACCGCCTTCAATCTTCGAGCGGTTAGGACCGAGATTGATGACATTTGGAGTCGGACGTGCCTCGTAGGCAGCC